ACAAAACCTTTAAGTTGTCAGCTCTGAGTCGATATATTTGTACTGTGGTCTCAGGGTACAGTATGTTTTTATTTCCTAATATAAAGTGAATCAACAATCACTTGTTTAATTAGTTTATTGCAGCTCCCACCGGTGCATGCTGAAATGTCATTTACAAGAGAAAGGTTTCATGACTCAGTGCTTTGATTTTAACACAGACAGACTTGAATACATGAATATTTATTTTGCGGAAGTGAGGCTCATAAAGTAAATGATCATAAAGAGTCTATCGACACGAGGGATTAAGTTTTAGCCTAGAATCTAGACCGTCGTTTGCCGAGGCAAAATACTTTGCTTTGCAATTTAGTCTAAGCACTCTGAAATTGGAATCTTCGCAAGCACGGCCAAGATTGTTGCCAACCAATCACAGTGCGTTTATTTGGAATAAAGATATGTTGTTTTACGTTTTGTTGTGTTTTATGTAGTTCTTCTGCGATGGCAGACTGAGCCCTTGACTGTCATCTGTGGTGGTCCAATCACAGCACTTTATTGGTTTGGTCAGCAAATCGCAGGGCTCTGTCAACCAGGTGGGCGGGATGTTACTGAAAACCAATATGGCCACAGCTTTATCGTTGTCCAATCATAGCGCTCTGTTGGTTTGGTGGGCCAATCGCAGAACTCGGTAGAAGGGATGTTACTGCAAAAAATAAAGATGGCAAGTCGGCGACTGCACGTGTGAAATGGCTTTGGCTTCAACTCTGGATTGTTTTGTGGGCTTTTCTTTGAGTCAAGAGCAGAGAGAGATACTTAAAAGCATGGATATACATCTTCTTTGACGGAGAATGGCAGACTGCCTCGTTGACTGGTTTCTGTAGCGGTGAGTACGTCATGTGGGGACAGTTTGAAAGACAACTATAGATCCCACCCCACAACTGAGAGCCGTTAATGGACGGTAGCCAGACTACATATCACACATAAATAGGATGGCTTGCCAGGCTAAGTAAGGTGCTCCAGCAGTAGGAATGAACGGACAGCACACTGACACTAGTAGGGATGAGTACCGAATTCGGTACTTTTTAAGGTACCGACCGAATTCCATAGTACCGACCGAACACCGATTCACGTCATTTCAAACGGTGCCTCGTTTCGGTACTGCCAAGACAGTTGCGCATGCGCAAGAGCGTTATGTCGCCGGTCCCTGCGAGTCCGTTGTAAACAGAGCAAGCATGGTAGAAAGAACGCACGCTAAAGCTTGGGTCCACTTCACTAAATGTGATGGGTAAATGGGTGATGAAACTAGCGACAGACAACGATCTAAGTGAGACATTCTCATCTTAATCTGCTCCAGTAGGTAAATAAAATGTTTAAGATAACGTTACCTTGATTTGTTAGCTTCCGTTTCGCTAATGGTGCGTTCGCTTTCTCCTCGGAACTCCGAATTTCCGACTAGAAGAACATGAACGCGCTCTAAAGTTTGGCTTTACTTTACTAAATGCGACGGGTGATTGGGTGAAGGTAAAACCAGTGACAACGATCTAAGTTTGAGGCATCATCGTTTTAATCTGCTCCAGCAGCTAAATAAACTAAGATAACGTTAGCTTGATATGTTAGCTTCCATTGCCACCGTTGTTATCAGCTAATGGTGCGTTCGCTTTCTCCTCGGAAATTCTATCTTCCCAGTAGGAAAAATCAAATGAAAAAGGACGGCAAAAGGAATGAAGATGCACAGTAAATTTAGTTCACAGTAAAGATGTTTGCTTCAGTTTAATTATCAGCTTATAAAACTACAAGGACGATGTTAAAATACAAACTTGTATGTTATTTATCGTGATATTTATCAAATATGGTTATATGTTGAGAAAAATATATATTTAATTATAAAAGAGAATTAAAATAATAAACACTCAAAAGTATCGAAAATTGGTACCGTTAAGTACCGGTATCGACTCGTAGGTACCGGGAATTAGTACCGGATCGATTCAAATGTCAAAGGTACCCATCCCTAGACACTAGAGAAGATCTTTCAGATGATTCTGAGAAAGCGTCAGTAGTGGGTGGCTTGGCCCAGTGGTGGTGGGTGGGTGGGGGGGTAGGGGTGCATCTTCTATAGCCTATGTAGCAGTAGGAAAAAAATTGCTCTGCTGGTTGGTCTAGCCATCCATTGCAGCCTCAGCAGGTCTACCATTGGCTCATGTAAGTTTAGGCCAGGCCAATCACAGTGCTCTGTGCTTGGGTGGGCTTCGTCCCAGAGCTGTGATGGTGCAAAACAATAACAATAGCAGCAGCTCACGACTGGCGCTCTTTTGAAATGGCTTCAGCATCAACTTTAGACAAAATTAGACGTGAGCTTTTCTTTCAGACATGAGCAGATAGAGGTACTTCTTCATCTTCTACCACTTCAACAGTGCATGTCGGACTGCCCAATTGACTGATTTCTGTCTGTGACATTGTTCATTGCGCTGATCGGTCCTGGCGATGTCTAATTACAAGCAGAAACCATTTGAATGAGAATGTAAGTACCTCCCATGACCGAGCTCTGTTTATGGGTCGTGGCTAGAGTATACTGTACATATGAAGCATTGCGTGCCAGGCTCTACCAATGCACTTTATTCACCAAACAATGTAAAACAATTGAAAGCTACACCACCTTTGTGACCAATGATCATCTTGCGTTGAGAAATGGGATTACAAATCTTGAAAATAAAATTTTAGGCTTGAACATTAGGTTATGGGACCTGACTCACTTACAAACAATTGAGAAGATTCAAAGCCAGAAGGTCGTTCCATTCAAGTCTCGAGTCAAGTTGAAGTCAAAGACAACCAAGTCCAAGTTGAGTCCAAAGTCAATGATCTGGAAGTCCAAGTCAAGTCCATGTCCTTAACTATGAATTTTCAAGTCATAATCAAGTCATCTGTCCAACTTCAATTTAATGACAATGATAATAAACATATTCCAGAAATAAAGCTTCTTAAAGCTTCATTTATTTGCTCAAACAAGCAGAAAGTGCAACTGAAACTAATTATAAACAAAGTGCTGCTGCATTTAGCAGAACAAGTTCACACCCAGAACCAAGAATGATTCATGATTTTTGTCCATTTCGTGCCACTTTTGTGCTAAAATATCAAATATGCTCAAGTCATCATCAAATCAACAGATGCAAGTCGATTCAAGTTTCAAGTCATTGGCATTCAAGTCCGAGTCAAGTTGTGTCTTAATAGATTTTATCAAGTCAAGTCAGAGGTCATTAAAATAATGACTCGAGTCTGACATGAGTCCAAGTCATGTGACTCGAGTCCACACCGCTGGCTAACAGCTAGCTTCTCAAAGCCCAGACATGCTCTGTTTTCTCCTGGATGCTAAACCAACCACAACCCTCCCCAGTCGCGAGTCCAGATGGATGAGTCCACGAATACTAAATTCCAGTCTGACATAGATATGACTGGCTTTCTAATCCAAGTGTTTCTTCGTCTATCATCTCCTGCATCAGCTGGCCCTTTTCGATGAGAAGGAGCAGCTCTACGCTATCCTTGCCTTTAGATGATGAGATTTTCAAATTCATTTTAGTTGTTTGCATCCAAGATCTGGATTTGTCATCAAAGATCAAAATCTCATGACCATTTTAAGAGTCAGAACGCAGAACACAGAACACTGTGACAAACCAAACACCCTCATTAAGTGGATCTCTGGATCCATCTCTCATCCTTGGTCCTCCTGAGACTCATGCCCAGCCCAGAGGAAACATTCCTCCCTCCTGGAGAACCACAGCTTCAGATTTGGAGGTGCCGACTCTCACCACTACTGCATCACACTCAACTTTGAACCACCCTGGTGCACAATGAGGTTGTGTCTTGAAGAAACCAACAGAGCATTATAAAACAGAGGTTCTCAAACCAGATTCAGTTCGATTCAAATACAAGTTTTCTCCTTCTTTTTATTTTTTTGCACTTTACCTTTTCTGTATTAGGCTTTTATACAAGTACATACACCAATGACCTCAGAGATATGTAATCGCTTTGAGAAAAAATAATTAAATTGAGTTTGTCTGATATTTAATTGTTTAGTAACTAAACACTGTAAATACTTAGGTAAGCCAGGCTGATATAATGGAACAACTGTGTTTACTTGGAGGCTCTGTGATCCTTCAACATGTTGGTGTGTGCACACACACCGCAAGAGGCGAGGAGTCATGGAGAGAGGGAGTACTTTTGCTAGAGCAGCAAGAATCTCAGTTTAAGAACGCTATATGAAGTTGCATCATTGATGAAAAAGAGAATTTGAAAGTATCAAGAGTGACTTTTTAATAAAACAAAACCAGACAGCTGTAGATGTTTTGCTTCTTTTAATAGTAAATGTGATTTAATTATACATTGTACAAAAAAACTGATTTTATAAAAAAATATATACAAAAAACCTGAATGTGGCTTCGGGTAAAAGCATTTGTGCCCAAAAAATCCTCTCAACATTAAAAAGTTACATCTAAAAATCTATTATTCTGCATTTAATCTGTTGAAACGTAACAAGCCCGAGCAACACTGCAGTGTGCCAAAGATAGACAGGTTAAAGGTCACATATGACCTATTTTAGCAAAGACTAAGGAAAAAAACAGAAAATGTATAAATAACCACAGAAGATGTTACAAATGACTGTGAGATCACAACACAGCTAACAAAAATGAAAAAAGCAAAAACCCCTTTTACAACTCGTCAAAGGTGGAAATTACTTGAGGTATGAGTGTTCACAGACATATATTCTATAGTTTTTCATGGAAAATTTACAGGTATATATATATGTATATATGTGTATATGTATATATATATATATATATATATATATATATATATATATATATATATATATATACACATATATACACATATATATATAATATTATATATATATATATAATATATATATTAGATAGATAGATAGATAGATAGATAGATAGATAGATAGATAGATAGATAGATAGATAGATAGATAGATAGATAGATAGATAGATAGATAGATAGATAGATAGATAGATAGATAGCTAGCTAGCTAGCTAGCTAGCTAGATAGATAGATAGATAGATAGATAGATAGATAGATAGATAGATAGATAGATAGATAGATAGATAGATAGATAGATAGATAGATAGATAGATAGATAGATAGATAGATAGACAGACAGACAGACAGACAGACAGACAGACAGACAGACAGACAGACAGACAGACAGACAGACAGACAGACCTATAGAGGTACCAATTTTCATGATGTCAGCTCCAGCGGATGCAGCAAATGTCTGTTGCTTTACAATGTCACGCATACTTTTCCTGTGATAAAATCACAATCAAACATGCAGTGCTGACTAATGTTTTTGTCTATAGAATATTTTAAATTTCTCCTTCTGAATCAGCGGGTCGATCTACTGTAAGCTCATTTGTTAGCCTGAAATCTTAGAAAAATGAAATTCTTTAAATATCAGCACAGCTATTTACAACAACAACAAAAAAACAATTATTATTTACAGAAAAGCATAAGAAACATTTTTTGGCAAAAAAAAATTGTTCAACTGTGGCCTAAACATTTATTAAGGCAACTTTTGTTTGGTGATAAAATTGACAAAAAGGGAAAAGAAAACATAATCCATTCTTTTACCCAGAACTTTTACAAAGTACGTATAATGGTTGCCACATAAAAAAGAAAATAGGAATAAATACCTCCATACAGTAAAATAAATGATTCATTCATCTCAGTCAAAGACTCGGTTTCTAAGCAAGTTTACAGTAGAAATACAAAGCTGACCTTCGTATCAATCTCCTATAATTGATAACGTAAACATCTCCCGCCTACAGATTACAGCGTGACCAAACCCGACAACAGGATCCACCACTTGCTGAGAGGTTCAGTCAGCCATGAAGCTGTCACTTTAACAACTAAACTCCTTTGCTTGTAAAGTGTTCAACAATTTCAATCCACTTTATTTTATCATTTCAGGAAAAAAAAAATAATAATAAAAACTGTACAAACTTCTTTTTTAAACGGATCTCAAGTCTGGGTGTGCCACCAGGATGATTATCAGTGTCCCTACCTTAATCCGCTCTAACCTGACACCCAGTTGTGTGTGTTGGTCTTTACCCTCTGGGAAAACCCATGGGGTGCACCTGCAGGGTCAAAGTTAAAGTCCAGCGAACCTCCATCCATGAGGGTGTCATGGAGGACGGACTCCAGGTCACATTCAAACATCTCGATGGACATGTTGTCCAGATCGCTGGGCAGCCGTTCTTGATGACCGTGGTTGTGAACGGAGTTCAGTTCCCTGCTGCTGTAGCGTGGTGAGAAAGCGTTGGTATGTGCTGGATGTCGGTGAGGCGACCGCATGCTTGTGCTCTGTTTGCTCAGTCGTTGAGAAGGCCCCCGTGGGCTGGTTAGACTACTCAAGGGGATCATGTTGCAGCCAGTCAAGTTTTGTGAGGTAGCACGACCTTGGTTATGTATAGCCCGTGGGTTTACATGAAGACCTGGATGACTCTGACTGGGATTGAGCATTTCTACCCCACTTTGACCCCCCACATGGCTCTGACTGTTGTAAGTGGACAGAAGGCAACTTGGCTTTCCACCGTCAGCCACTCGTGCATTGGTGGAAGGCATTGTGCTCCTACTGGTGTCTGCGTCAGCAGTCAGCAGCTCTTTGAGAAGGCCTGCCGGACTCATAAACTGGTTCTCATAAACTCCAAAGCCAGGTTTGTTCTCTGGAAGTGCCAACCTTATTTGGCCATACGTGCACTTTGGATAACCCTGGGTGAAGCCCGTGGAGGCGTACGAGCTACTCTGGAGCATGGTGGCATTTGAGGAGTGTGAAGAGTCGGAGCCCAGCTGGGGGACTTTAGGAGACAGCAGGTGAAGGTTATCCAACAAACTCTCCATGACATGTTCAGAGCCATGCTGGCCCATGGATCCAGTCACCTCTGAGAGTCTGGGCAGGGTGGCGGTTATCTTTGTCCCTGGTGCTCCAGGATACAACATGTGCCCATCAGACTCCACCAGATCCTCCTGCTCTGAAGGGAAAGGTGAACGCCGGCCACTCAGAGTGCTGGCGTCTGAGCTGGTGCGAGTTCTGAAGGAACTCCAGGTTTCCAAGTCCTCATTGCTGTGAGAGTTGGGGCTTCCAAGCCAATACTGGGAACTAGGACTTCCTCCTCCTCCCTCAACCCCGTCCTGTAGAGACATCTAAGGACAGAAATAACAGCAAGAGCTTTAATGGACTGCCATAATAATAGGACAAAAGTAATCCCGATCAGGAGGACTGTGAAACACACTGTTTGTGGAGCTCCATACCTTTTTCTTCGTGGCTCTCCCTCTGCTCTTCATAAACTTGTTGTTGTTGTCCATGGAGACAGCTCTACGTCGAGGCGACTTTCCGTTCTTTCCTCCTTCTGGATTCAGCATCCACCAGGAGCTTTTTCCCGTTCCCTCATTCTGGATGCGCACAAAGCGACTGTGCAGGGACAGATTGTGTCTGATGGAGTTCTGGATGGAGCAAGTAAAGATACTCAGATTACAAAGTCATCCTTATAAGACTTCAGTTCAGGTTTAGCAGTGAATGAACTTAGTAAGTAATGATGATGCATTATTGGGATTACTTGTCTCACATGTCCGTATACTTGTATGTCTTTCTTTATTCTCACTTTTTTTACTGTAGCTTGTGTTTTCTGATCCAGCGTGTTTGTTGCTGCTTCAGCAGTGAAACTGTTTCTCACTGAGCTGCAACCGCTGGCAACAAATTACAGAGGGCTTTCACCAGGGAGTTTCCAAAATGTTTCAAAAAGTTCACTCAGCTTCCTTGCATGGTTCGCCGGGCTTTGCTACAATGTCGCTGACATTTTGATTGTGTTTCAATAGTTAAGCAAGTTTTACCTTTTGTGTGTCAGAAGTAAGGCTGGGACGATAATCAATAAATCAATTAATCATACGATAGATAGAAATTAACTCAATTTTTCCAGCCTCAATAGATCGAAGTTAAGAAATGTACAACTGTATTATTATTATTATTTTTATTGAAGTGCAGTTTTGGTTGTTGACACTAGATAGGAATTGTATTTATTGTTTTGGAGAGACCGGGTTTATTTTATTGTTTTTGATGCAATATTTTCTGACAGAATGAGAGTCCTTATTTATTTATTTGTTTGTTTGTGTTTGTTTGTTTGTTTAGAAGTTCTGGACATTCCAATGATAAAGAAAAGTTTAATTGTTGCATTTTAATGGCTGCGCTTGCATCATTATGATATATTAACATTACTTGTGTGGTTATTTTGGTCTCGATAATGTCAACAATAATATCATTTATCGTCAATAATTTGTTGGACAATATATCGTCCAGCAAAATGTATCGTCCTAGGGGGAAGAAAGTCCTTGTGACTCCAATTTGGGAAGGGTTCATGACCAAGGTTTTGACTTTTTGGAGAAAAAGAATTTGATATTTCGAGCACAAAAAAAGTTCGACTAAATTGGAAATAAAGTGACGACTCAAATATGATACTTTGAGACTAAATAGCAACTAGAAAATTTGCTAATTTGAACAAATATCACACCAATGCTGCAATGTTTTTGAAGGTTTGACACTCAAGAGAATCCATCCTGTTGCATCTCCAGATAAAAATTCGCATTTTTTTCTTGCATTTATTTTTTTGCCAACACTCATAGTCTAGGTAAAGAAGGGCCTGACAACACTTCTGCAACCGTCTGATGAAGATACTATTGCAAACCCCAAACAGCCAAACTTCATATAACTGGTTTGAAACATCTTAGTCCCTCTTTCTGTGTCCCTTTTGTCCTTGTCCAGACGTGTGCAGCTAAAGTCTACATTAATGCTACGGTGCTTAAAACCAACACACATCCACCTCCTGTGGTAACTCAGTCAAGAAGACAAACAATGCTTGTTTAATGGACAGAAAGACAATCTGTCGGCAAAGCCTCTCAACAAAATGTGTTTCTAATGGAGAACCGTTGCTGCTCTGGATGGAGGGAGCAATGAAAGACCTACATGATGCTCCAGCAGGGGATTCCCCCCCAACGCCCAATTGAAGAAGAAAGCAGCTTAGTGAAGCCAGATGTCCCCAACCACAGCAGGGATGCACAAAGCAAGAAGATGAAGATGCTTTTATTTAAAACTATAGTCTGGTATTCTGTGGGTGGTGGCTTTAGGTGAGGTCTATGGCATGTCTCATCAGAATAGCAGAAAAACCGGTCAAGACATTTTGAGTTGTAGCTGATTAAATAGAAAATGGCAAATACTTTCAACTGGAAACGGGCCAAAACATTACAACGTAACCTATAATAATTAGAGAAGAGCCCAAAGGGTGGCTTGGATATCTGCTCTGAGTGGAGAAGTTCAGCACATAGAGAGAAAACTGAACTGAGCACAAAAGACGGAGTAAGGAGAGGTTGCAGAGTTCGCTGTGAAGATGAGGAGGGTGAATGTTTTGCCTGCAGACATCGGGTCAATGAGTTCAGAGAGAGCTGAACATGAGCTCCTCAGCCTGCTCTCATGCAGACATGCAAACAGAGAGAGGAGCATAGACCTAACACACTGTGGGGTTTAACCTGTTTTGTGACTCACCATGACAACCCTGATGACCCCACCCCACCAGCCAATGCAGACCCCTCCCTTCTCTTCCACTGACTTTTTAAAAATAAGACTTCCTGTGTCAGAGGACATCCTGCACATGAAAAATGAAGAGAGTTAAGGTGGAATTTCTTTTTGCACAGCCCCAATTTTTCATTTTGACATCTCTTGGTTTCATTCATGACCTTTTCTCTCCCCCTCCTCTTTCTTCTTCTTCTTAAATGATCTCAATCTGTAGGTGAAGACAGGAAATGACTCAGAGGAGTACCTGAGATCCGAGTATGCAGCACAAAGCTTCATCTGCAAACCAACTTTTATTCCATTAACCAAAAGGGCACGTCTTTCTGAAGTTAGGCGGAGATCCTGTGCTGATATGCAAATGCCTACACCCTCTGATTAGTGCAACAATAGATCACTGCGTGACTGCACCTTTCAGAGAGGCTTTCTCCTCTCTGATAATCCCTGTGTGAGACAGACTCACCTCAGCTCAATGAGAACAAAAGAAATCCTCTGCTTCACTGATTCAGAAGCCCCACTCAGACTTTACACACGCCTGACCCAAGGTGGTCCGATTTATTATCTCTAAACGGTTCTTCTGTTGTTATCAGAATGTAAAGCATCATGAAATGTACCCGCTCTGCACCACCCTTTGTAAACCAGGGAAGTTCCCTGATAGAAAGGATGGAGAACACAGACTTACATAAATGGTTGTTACGGGGATCAACATAAGGGTGGTTAGTTAGTTAGTTAGTTAGTTAGTTAGTGTTGTAGAGGTGATGATTTGATGTTGTTGTTTTGGTAGTCTGAACAAAACTAAAGTTGAGTAAATGCTTAGAGAGGCCATTTTAGGGATTTACTTCAGTTATAGTAGCTCTATGGTCGACACAAAACATGCTTACTAAGTTCTTTGCCAAAAATCTCCATCACATAAAGTGATTTCAGCAGTTTAATTTCTGAAAGTTTCAGTACCCTCCATAATGAGCCGCTTCAAGGCTCTGTCAGTTTCACGCCTGGTTCACATCAGACACGGAAGCGCAACGTTGCGCCGCGAAGCACCGGGGAACGAAGAACACTTCCATTCGGCGCCCTTGTTACCCTATGGTCTCGATCACATCAGCCACAAGGTGCAGCAAAGCGCGACAAAGGCTCATGCCGTGCAGTGATCGTTTCGGAGTGTGCTCTAGTTTTTTTCCGCGAGCAGTGAGGGAGCCGTGTCATTTCTGGCAGGAAGTCAAACCAAAACTGATAAGGCAGGCTGGTAAATTTAACAAAATAAAGACATTTTTCTAAATAAAACCACGACTGATAAACGTGTCTTAACAGACTAGAGAAATGAAAATGAACACACACACACACACGCACTCCTGCAGAGAAACATGAAGTTTCCACAATTTTAAATGCTGTTTTTACAGCAAAAGATGGATTTAGCAGAAGTCATCGAAAATTCTTGCCTGATGTGAACAGGGGAGCGGGGAGCAGCGGGGAACAGCGGGGAGCAGCGGGCAGCGTGCAAATTTCGTGAGCGATCCACTTTGTGGCACTTCGCAGCTGATGTGAACCTGGCATAAGAAAACAAGATGGAGCTGGCCACACCCACCCACCCCCCACTCAGGTTGCTGTAAGCTGAGAAGTTCCAGTATCTGGATGGGGATTTCAGAGTAGAGTCACTGCTCCTCAAGCAGCAGTTCTGTCTTGGACATTTGAGGAGGTAATTTTCTACTTTCCCGTTTGTGATGTCACAAACGAGGGACTTGTTTTAGCTATATAATTTCTAAAACCAAATACTGACAGAAAATGTATGGATGCAATTTTTTCACATTTGGAGGTTTTATAGAGGCTATAGAGACCCATATGGCAGCACAAAGAAGGGGTGTTGTAATGTTCTGTGTCCCTTTGGTTCCCAGCCCCCTCCAAGTTTTCCCCCTGTCTCTCCACTGTAGTTTTCTATAGGTTTATGATTTCAGTTCTTTAGTCTCCTTTAGTGTGTGTGTTCCCTTCCCCACTTCATATCATTCGTTTACTCATTAGTTTCACCTGTGCCCAATTCCCCACGCACCTGCTCCTCATCTCCTATCACCCAGCCCTGGGTATCTAACCCTGTCTGTGTCTCCAGTGATTGTCGGTTCACTGTCTTATGTCAGCGTTGCCTTGTCCTCTATAGACCTACCTGGCTCATGAGTGAGCTTTTGTTTTTGTCTATAGAACTTTAGATTTTTTGGCTTAGAGTCCTGCAGTTTTGTTTTTCCTAATAAAAGGATTTTTATTTTGTACAACCTCTGCTGCCTTGAGGTTCTGCGTCTTGGATCCAGTCATTCGGCGCTCGCAGCGTGACAGGTGTTCAGGGTTTCCTCTAGGATTTTTTGAAACCGTGGTGGGGGACAGAGACGTACGGAGACGTTTTGAGACATGAGACTGTTTGTTTTTTGGTGAACATTTATTCACATTCACTGTACAAATGACATTACAAACTTGTAACCTACTGACACAGTTTGCAGCCTCTTCTTTTGAAAATATTTTAATATACTCATCTGAAAATGCAACCAGAAATGAGTCTGAATGGGAAAATTAACCGACAATTAACTATATGCTGTTTGAAACGGTCAGGAATACCGCATTAATGATGAACCATATTAACTACGTTACTGTTCAAATGTAGCAGCATGCGTTTAAATGAAGCTCATTTTCACAGGTCTGAACTAAAAATGCCTTCTTCCTAAGGTACCTTTCTTCCACCTTTTCTCTCCCTGTAGTTTTCTTTTACTCGTGAGAGCAGCTCACCGCACAGACGTGAAAAAAACGGCAGTACTGGTTTTTCAAAGTAAAATAAAATTTTAAAGTTTTGTTATATTTAAATTCATTTTAAGCTGTGATTATGGTTAGAAGACATGTGCAAATATAGACTATA